TCAAAATCTACAAAAAACGCTTTTTCTTTTACTTACATTTTTTTTTAGCAAAAATCGATCTTTTTTTATATTCTTTACATTTTAAAGAGTTAGAGACTGCGTACAATCAAAGAAAACTAGAAGACTAGAAAAGAGGGAACAGAGAATAAAGATTTCAACCTATCTCGGTATTTCATAGTACATGATTTCTGATAGAAATTTTTATTCTCTATTCCCAATTCCCTATTCCTTTGATTATGCGCAGTCCCTTATGATAAGAAAATGGTAGTAACTGGAATCAATTCACGAGGGTCACAACGCTGAGAGCGGAAGCAAATCACTCGCGAATTTAGAACGTTAGATCTGTCAGCCGCCACCCGATCTCTTTTGAGCTTTATTTTATGTATCATCTGGTGACACCAGAAGAGACGAAGTCGATTCGATTGGCGCGGGAATGAACGCATAGAAGCCGCGTACATGCACTGGAATATTGATCCATTCTTTATCGTAGCAATAAAGCATGCTGGTAGGAAGAATACGGAGAGATGATACGCGAAAAGTCGTATTATCTCGCAATGCACGACTGGAATTGTCCGATAAACGAGCGTGAATGAAATACTGCGCACTGTGCACGTCCGCAAGTATTTTTTGCATATTTTTTTTTCACCATTACGCAATTTGTCGAATTGATTTTCCATGAACAAAAGTTGCGAATAGTTCCCGAATTATATAATCAATTGAATGTCAAAAAGTGTTTGGTCGCCTTGAAAAAATTCTAATTATAAAGATTGCAAATTGGAATGGAGTAAGCTTCGTTATCGAAAGGATATATGTCTGTTGTATCATTTTATCGGTCTGTGAGATACAATACAACGATTTGTCTGGAATATAGCGCTTCAGTTAGCGCGAGCCTCGTATAATCCGATTGGCGGGACTAACGAGCGATTCATCGCTGCAAAAAGCGTGAAAATTCTGCAACGGAAAGTTTTAATGATGTAGCCATGAGAATGTGCGAAACTTACGAATGAACAGTGAATTAAAGAGGACACGCACGCATTAAATAAACATACGTCAAGATTATATTATATCCGAGCTCGTAAATTGTTTGAAGCGATATTAATAATGTTATTATCATTATAATTGATATATCATTATATAGATTTGTAAGCCTTATCTTGTAAGTGCATGGTAAAGTTGCAAATGTGCGATGTAATGTAAAATTATAGAATTTTTTGCGTATATGTTTTAATTAATCATGCATCATATAGTGTAACTAAAAACAATGCCTTACATAATAGTTTAAAACATATTGTATTTAAACATTAAAAAGTGCATTAATTGAAATTGCTATTTGAAACGAGAAATAATAAAGATTTTCTTGATATCAATTCAAAAGCTCGTGCATAATGCTTTAGAGTCTTTTTAAAAAGCTACAAAAGCGTCTTCGCTTTAGAAATTTATACTGTATTTATTCTGCTACTAAATTTAACTTTTAATATAATATAGTAGAATGCAGTAAATTGCTCTTAAGAAAGAGAGACACTTTACATCCAGTTAGTATTTCGCGGCGGACACAAATATTTTAATCACGAAGGAAAAATTCAAAAAACTCTGTGGCGCGCGGTTGGTGACTCTTTACCGTATCGATCGTGTCTCGATCGTCCTACTTTTCCCGCGGGCTCAGTCTAGACAAGTAAATTACGTTGTCGACGCGTTTAATTGCGCGTTCAACCCGGATCAGCTAGTCAAATTAGCAATCGAGTTCGTGTGATACGATTGATAAAATAACAGATCGTCGTATGAATACTTGTTTAATAGATATCAAATTAAATACTGGTTATTGGAAGAATCCGTATTCAATTTATTTTGTTTCAGAATAAATTATAAACTTTTCTTGATCATCTCGCCCCCCCCCCCGCCTTCTTCCCCACTGTGTACACTTCAATTATAATTCTTCGCAAAAATGTACTTTTATATTATCTTGGAAATATTGTAAAATGGAATTTTGTATACACAGTTATTATTAGACAATAAAGTTATAAGCAATAGAATGTTATTCGCGCGAAAATAAATTTTAAAATAAATAAATTGTGTTTCTTTTGAATAAACAGGAAACGATCAACGTCCTAGAATAATAAATTTATTGGAGTAAATGTAACAATGCATAATTTAAGGAAAATTTGTTAAAAAATAAATTAAGATTTGCACTAATTATTTTTGATGATTTATTGTTTCCTACTTACACAAGAAACTGTGTAATTTTCTTTCTGTTTTGTTCTTATTAAAACATTTGGCGATAAGTGGACGAATGTAGACGTTGTTGTGAGATGACAATTCTTGTAATTATCGCACAAGAAGAAACAGAGTGTTTCCCCTCGTATTGGCATAACAGGATACGTGTGGCTGTCTTTCGTTTCATGTGTCATGATGTGCCGATTTTTGTCGCGACATTTTATACCTTTCCCACGTGTGTCGAGTAGTGACGTTCTGTGTTTTGTAAAGAAAAAAAGCTAGAAAAACAAATAGCTAGAATCCACAACCGGCGTATCGACAACAGTTTCGTAATCGTGGCTTTAGTGTTCTCCAAATTCGGCTGCGGAATATTGCAAATGGCAAAAAACGAGACGCGACTGACCGGAAGTGGATATTTGCTCCCTTCGGCGTGTGTATCGTGATCGAGATATCCTTTAGATCTTCAACGTATCATTTTTTTTTCTTTGTCGAAGCGAGGATCGAAGAGATTATGTCTTTTTCGTTTTTTTTGCAATAATATATTTTTATAATAAATTTAATATATTATTCACGAATAGATATGAAAATTATTATATTACATAATTATTATAAATTTACGAAATAAAATTTTTATGATACCAAAGAAAAGATTTGTTAAGATAAAAAGCAATCGAATAATAAATTAAACGTATTGTCAAAAATCAGAACAATATACTAGTGATTATACCTATACAACATGTTCTTATATTCTCTTTTATATTCTATTTTATATTTTATTTTAAGTAATCTTTGCAGAAATCGATTTATATTAATTGCGTATATTGATTTGTTATTTTTCAAAATATAAGGAGACAATGACATGTAAGATATTGTATTATTAGAGAAATGAAGAGCGTCGAAGTCTTTTCTCATTTACTACGTCTTTCTAATCACGGAATAAATCCAGTGCAACAGGATCTATCGCTAAACAAACGTTGACGGTGCGATCCCATCCGACATGTAACAGTAAATCTCTCGAATCGCCCGTACGTGCACTCCATTACAGTCTGACATAGTGGACATCGGATAAGCTCGTCGATCCTCACCTAGACAGCAAACACGAGCCGCAACTGACGGATGCGTTTAGGTGACTCGCGAGTCCGTCGATTTCTCGAATACACCGTATGTAGAACGATATGAAAATGAGTCGACCACGCGTCGTACGCGATGAAATGATGATCAATAAAATAACACTGCAGTCCACACCACGTAACAATATCCAAATATATGCACACATATATAGGGTGTCCCAGGTGCCCCATATTCTTGTTTTATCTATATTTACGAATTTCTCGATCAATTTGGAGTAGATCTCTCTGACAATTTCAAAATACTAATCAAGTTTAAATTGTTAATAAAAGCAAGTACTATCGCGAACAATAATTCAGATAATAATAATTTCTTTCAATTCCAATAATTTTTATTTGAAGAATAATTACAAAGATCATTGTCCAAATTTTTCTAAAATAAGATCAAGTCCAAATTGATAAAGAAATACATACAGGGAATGCAGAGTATCCGGCGCACCCTGTATACATGCGTAGACGGATGAATATAAATATACGTAATAAATATATCACGTGACGTCCAAGATTAGCGCATCGCAGGAACGATTACGGGTGTCAAGGAGGCATTCTTTGACAAAAAGAACACAAAATGGAAAACGAACTAAAGGATAACGTTAGAATAGACCGATGATGAGCAAGTATTCTCGAGACTAAATGCTTGAAGACTGCAGTTCTCGTGCTCGTTGCGTTGTGGTAATGCGGCACCTTAAAGCCGTCATAGGTCCAGGAGCCTAACTTCAAAACACAGGTCTGTACGTCGTACGGAAAGAACTCAACGTCGATGGAGCAGGAAGATTTATATACGGCCGGCGGTTGCCACACGACCAATCCCGAATGGTAGACCGTGGCCTTGGTCATCAGCGTCACCTCGTAGTTCCCATCGGCGCTGGAATCACCGAAGAAACGAGCCGAGCATGATCACGATTGGCTCGGAGAGAAGGTCTCTGGATGCTGCCATCCTATCTCTTTTTCCTCTTTTCTTCGTTCCCTCGCTATTCTTCAGTCTTTCTCGATATCGACTTCACATGTATCGACAAAATGAATCTTATTCACGTTTATACCGTTATCATGATACTTTCATTATTCACTACTTTGCGAAACGTTTCCAATTGTCCAGAAGAGACTGAAACGGAAATCTGATATATCCGACTGACTCGCGAGATCGATAACTTCGAAAATAACATGGATTCGTGTTTCAACCTCACTCGAGAGAGAAGTTGCTAACGACTATTGACTTTGCTTTTGATAAAAACAAAAATCACGCGATTAAATGTTTTTTTCTTTAGAAATAGGATTTTAATAAAAAAAATAATATTAATTGTTTTACCGTTCTGGAAGAATATTCGATTGAATATTGTCATGTTTGATTCACTGCCTCGTAATAAATATGATCGTGTCATCTCGAGCTATATGGCAGCATCCGACTTCGGGGATGATTTCTGGGGAACTCGTGTTTTCTCTCTCGATTGTTGGAGACCAACGCGACGAGCCAATCGTCTATGATCTACTCTATGCTTAGGATCTATTTGATCGCCGTCCCGGAGACGCATCCCGTACGGAGCCGTGTCGGATCCGCGTCTCGGACGTTCGGCGGACTAATTGGTAACTCAATTAATTGTTCGAGGACTCGAGGGAGTTGAAGGGAAGAAGGGGCACGACTTAACGGCTACCATGCGAATTTACCTTAAAGCCGTCATAGGTCCACGAACCGAACTTGAGGACACAGGTCTGCTCGTCGAATGGGAAGTATTCCACGTCGATCTCGCAGGATGACTTATATATGGCCGGCGGCTTCCACTCGACCAATCCTTGACTGTAGATTGTGGCCTTCGTGGCCAAGGTCACCTCGAAGTTGCCGTCCGCGCTGCGAGCGAGCACATTAGTGGTTCTGGGCGCTGCGGCGGTTGAGCTTACTTTGTACTTCCGATTCGATACCAAGCCGTCTTTTTTATTTTTTTCTTTTTTTTAAATTTATTTCTGTGTGTGTGTGTGTGTGTGTGTGTGTGTGTGTGTGTATGTGCATATGCGTTTTAATATGATTGACGGTATCTTCTAAATAACTAAATAAATCTTACTTGAACGTAACAAATCTATTAGTCTTTCTGCAGGTGTTTCATCAGCACACAATCGACGGTAAAATAGATCCGCGCGAATAAAAATGATCTTTCTAAGAACTGACTAACTTTAAACTCGGATATAGAATTATTTGGTTCGAAGCGTTCTCAATAGCAGATTGAACTATCGCACAGGCTCTTATTTCGATCCACTAACAATAAGTTTGAAAGCTGAGGCACGTCAATAATATGGCTTTACGAATTAATAGAATCTAACAGGTTATTAATTTTTCTTTATTATTATTCTATTCGTCATTTGGGTAAAGGAAAAGAGCTTTATTTTAGCGTTAATAAATGCATGTTCAACTTAAAGGATTTTATATGGCCTATAATATCAAATATGACCTATTTGCTATTTTTGTAGGTAATTACATGAATTCATACATGAAACATATAGCACTAAGTGCAGACTGTCCTACTCGATTGCATCAATTTATTGCTCAATTTGTTCATATTATTGTCATTGTAAAACAAAATGCAGAATGACATTGTCATGATGTAATATTTTGTATGTAATTGATTGCTTCCTCTAACCATCATACGGTTGTTAATTTCCATAGTTCGTATTATTCTAAACAATATTAAATCTCATAGGACCGCAAATCACATATAAACGTATTAAAATTTTTTAGATATCAGAGTAGCGCAATCCTGAATCGACAATCTTCCTATTGGCTATTTCGATCGCCATTTTGGACCTAGTGGCCTGTAGATCAAATAAGTATTTAGTATTATTGGTATATGATGTGATTAATAAGTCGAAAATGGAGGAACTTTGCGTTACTTTGGTATATCTACATTTAGACTATATATATATATATATATATATATATGTGTGAGAAACACAACCTATAGAAAATAAATGCCTTAAACGCAAATTCTACTCAACTATTACAGTAATACGAGTTAAATTGATTAGCAATTTAACAATTGATGTTTTTACGTATTTTAAAATGATCTTAATAATGCTGAATAACATATTCGTTTTAAGATGCGTAAGAACATCAAATTATTAAATTGCTAGTCAATTTACTTGTGATATTACAGCGATAATTTAACAGAGTTTTAAAATCGAAAAATCATTTAGGCGCGCATTTTAAAGGACTACATACATAGTAGATATATAAACTCACTCAGAATTATACACTTAAGATCCAGCTAGACTGTTTAAGGCATTTATTTTCTATAGTTATATTATTGTAGCATTGTATTTACAACATTGTATTTAATTTATATTTTTATTATAACCATAACTTTGTTTATCAAAGAGAAGAAATTTTTTGTAAGATAGGACTAATATGATCAATTTAGACATTTTAAAGCCCGGTTTTGTTATTATCAAGTTAAGTAGTTTGCTTGTAGTTATGCTTAATTTGATATTTCACCCAATGAACTCCATTCATGATATCATCATAAATAAAGTTCATTGGATAAAACATCAGATTAAACCTAACCACAAGTTAAGATAATGAAAAATCGGGGCTAAATATACATCGATTATAACGTTTTTTTCTACTTCTATTACTATTCTAGACCATATGATTTTAATTAATCTTTGAATTAATCTAATTGTAAATACTAAACTTTGTGGAGATAAATAAACAAGTAGATAAGTTTGGAAAATAATTCTTTATACATCCTTACATGTACATCAGTAAACATTAATATTAATAATAAATTTGTAAATCTTAAAGTAACATTGAATTATTTTTCACTTCTCTAATATTTTTTTTACAAAAAAGAGCAAGGAAAGCATATATTTAGATCATATTGAGTACATATGACCTAACTGCTGACGTTCTTTTACTTTTCATTGCACCTATATAAATATTTGAAAGTCTTTCATATTTTTTTAAAGGAGAAGAGTCAATAAGATGGATTTTTAGGCTCACTGATGTCTCAAAGTGTGTCATTTTATTCCTCTGTCCAAAGTTCATAACGCCCTGAAATAGTTTTTTAAAAAATAATTTGATCCGGAGGAATAACCATTTTTAAATTTCCATTTTACATAGGTTTTTATACTTTAAAACAAATCAAGATGCATTTCATATTCTAAATATTGCTCGCGCAAAATCAAACTTCTCTAAAAATTGCACATATATATGCACTATAACATGTCAGAGCCATCATTTTACTTGATCAAAGAAAGGCTTATTTTTTAAAATTTCTTTTATGTTAACTCTAAAATATTTTACTTTATAAGCTTCGTCAGAAATAATATATTCCCACAAAATAGAATAAACGAACTTGAAAATGCGTAAAATACAAGAAAAAATTGTTGACCAATAAGGAATAGGTGTGATAGGCCTTCAATATAATTCTTATGCAATTTCAAGATTTTTGAAATTTTTCAGGAACAATCTCTTTTACAATAAAAACTGTAGAAAAAATAAGTCAAACAAACTTCAAGAAAAATATGTTTTCAAGAACGAACAGAATTGAATGAAATAAATAAATTATGATCAATAAGAGAATATGATTTTGGACAAATTTTCCATATGGGTCTCACACGATATTTCGGGATTTTCTAGGGATTATTTTTTCAATATAAAAACTACTAGAAAAAATGAATTAAACGAGTTCAAAAAAACATATTTTTTTTAGGAACAAGTAGAATTCTTGGATAATGTACTACATGGGCTGAAAAGTCCTGGGATTTTTCAATACGTGGTGCCATTAGAAAATGAATATGATTCATTTCGAGAGGTTCATCTGTCACTAGTTTATGTATGAAGTTTCATGACATTTTGTTCATTTCTTTACAAGCTACAATCGTTTAAGTGGCGCTACTTTCGCCTTCATTCTGTACCATCGTTCTGTACCTCGATAACGCAGCGTCACACACGTCCTTGAAAGCGATGGCCAAATTGGACCAATTACGATTCGAATTGGTTGCTCACCCACTGTATTCTCCAGACTTAGCCCCCAGTGATTATTATCTGTTCCCAAACCTCAAGCGGTGGCTCCAGGGAAAGAGATTCACATCGAATGAGGAAGTAATCGCGGAAACCGAGGCATATTTCGAAGGCTTCGTTTCGTACTACAGAAAGGGCATCGAAATGTTGGAAAATCGCTATATCAAGTGCCTCGAAAAGCCCTCGAAAAGAAGCGTATTCCTCAACTATGTTGAGGAATAAATATAACTTTGCCCAAAAACGCTTCTTTTCATTAAAAATCCCGGGACTTTTCAGTCCATGTAATAAATAATAATACAGGACCATAAAATAAAAAAAAGCATTTTGTTCCGGAAGGAAGATCAATTGCTTCCTACATATTCTGACACATGCTAAAACAGAATCTATTTCCTGAAAATTCGTATCTCGTTACATTTATGAAATACACATAGTAAGAAGGTCCAAAATTACAATTTCGCAAATAAAATAACGCAGATTATAAATTCTTATCTACGTAGAACTACGGACAATAAATCAATCAAATCAAGTTATTTGAACCCTCAATTCTTAAACTATAAACCCATACACTCCAAACTCATATATCCTTGAAGACAAGATCTTGAAATGGTCCAGTGAAGGTAAGATCAGTGAAGGTAAGATCTCGAAATGATCCGGCCAGTGAATACAAGATTTCGAAATGATCCGATCAGTAAAGGTAAAATGTAGAAATGATCCGACTATTAAAGGCAAAATCTCGAAATGATCTGGACAGTGTAGCTTTATGATTAAAAAGTATCAGATACTAGCAAATAGTAAAATCAAAAGTAACTTAATGAAACAATGTCTAACTGCTTATAAATATCTGAGAAAATGCGAAAATATTTTATTTCAAGAATAAGGAAAGCTTCACACAGCTCGAATTGTGGAACAAGAATGAAACGGAATCACTGAGATCATCGAGAATAAATACAAAAACAACTGAACGCAGCGCAGGCGTAGTTCACCATAAGTGGCAGTCTTTTGTTTTACAAGTTTTAATTGATCTTTACTTTTTTTCTTGTATTTTTAAATAAATTCACTAAAAACCAGAATTATATTCTCTAGGATCACAAACATAAAAGAGATTGTAAAAAAAGCCTCTTTTTGAAGGTCAAGTATCTCACAGAAAATGATGGTTCTGACATATATTATAGCATACATATAATATGCAGTTTTTAGGGAAGTTTAATTTTACGCGAGTAATATTTAGAATATGAAATGCATCTTGATTTATTCTAAAGTACAAAAACCCATGTAAAATGGAAACTTAAAAATGATTATTCCTCCAGATCAAATCATTTTTGAAAATTTGAATTTCATTTTTCATTTTGAAAAAAAAATCACTTCAGGGCGTTATGAGTCTTGGACAGAAGAATAAAACGACACACTTTGAGACTGATCAGTGACGGATTCAAAAACCTCATCTCCTTTTCAAAAATGCTTCTTCTTTCAAATTTGATCATAAATTTGCAATTTTAAATTTAACAAAAAATTTTAAAAAATTGCGAAACTTATATAGACCATTATTAGATCTAATTACTTTACTGCGTATTATATTAATTGAAAATATTGCAAAATTACTGATTAATATTGGGTTGTCCGGAAAGTTCATGCCGATTTTGAAGGAAAATTGAAACGCAGAAGATTTAAATTTTAGTATACATTTATTAAATTATATAAGTGCCATTCTGTTCTACAACCTTTCTCCATCTTTCAGGCAACTTGAAAATTCCGTCCTTCCAGAATCTTTCAGATTTTTCAGCGAAAAATTTTTCTAAGTGATTTTTTTCGACCAAAGAATTGAAGCTTTTTCCATT